AATAGTAAAATACTTAACCTACACTTGTATAATGTTTACAATATATAGAATATTCAATTTTAACATCATATTACCAACTTTTTACTATAAATCAATAACCATAACTTACTAGGAATCTTAATATAAATTAGGCTACAACAGCTTTAAAACAACTTATAATCAACTTTTAATATATTTCAATACTTCAATCCCATCATTGATTGCCTAAACAAATACTAGAATTAATTCTATTTCAACATTTACAATATATTAGCTTTAAAAAACAAATTAGAAATCTTTACATCCTATACCTTTATATAGCTGATAATACTATTTTACTTAAATAAAAACATCTCTTATCACAACTGTTATACTTATCTAAAGACCAAAAACCATTATAATTCATCTATTTGGAAGACATTATAATGGCTTACAATAACTACAGAGCCTTTTTTCTATACTATTAATAACCAAAATATAACCTATTTGCATACAGCTCACAACTTATTTTTAAAAAATCCAAACTTTAATTACTTATATATATTAACAATGAGATTATTATTGGCAAAATTCACAGACATTTCAAAAGCACTAACCAAATATATATTATATACTAACAAACAAATATTGATATAAATTACTCTGGCTACTACCCTCTTTTACTAACCTAATGCTCTTCTTGCTTAAACTGTCATTTAAACTCTAACTGAATTCAAAATTTATATACAATTAATATATTTGCAATTATTTCTTCTTAGTTCCTAGAAAGAGTTAATTCTAACTCATTAAACTTCAATGCCAACTATATAGACCTTATTTATTTAATAGTCTTTAAACATCTATTATCAATTCCTCTAGTACCAACAATCTCAATTCCTAACTCTTATGTTTTTAAAATATTCAAAACTAGTAAAGTCACAAACATATTTAAACAATATTTAATTTTCAATAATTTTTAACAACAATTTAACTTTTACATTGATGACTTAGTAATTAATATCAGAACTAACCAATATACAATAGGTATTGGCTTGGTTTAGGTCAATAATGATAACTAAATTATTTACAAAGTTTTTGCCAAAATATACTTCTGGTTATCATTTTACAAAACAAAACTGATGACTATTCTCTTAGCTATTTCTAGCACACTCTGAAATGCAATAATTAACATCTTTACAAATTTCCAATCTATTATTAATAAATACTCTAATATCTATATTACACTTTCCAATCCAAATAAACTTTTCAAATTCAATATAGTGATTTTGTTAGTAGTAGGTATTTGAGTAATTATAAGGTAATTGAATGAAAGTATATAAGGGTAAGGGTTGTGTAAATATTGAAAGATAATTTTGTTTTTTCTGTGAACCTGACTTTCATTCTGGTTATATCGACTGACCCATCCACCCTTCCCATGAATTAAGCATTGTTGTAGTGTATTAGCCTGTCAGAACAGCAGTTATCAGTATTGTTGAAAGTAATTTTACCATCATAACTTACTATAGTAAATTATCAGTAAGTTACTAAAATTTCTTAATAGTAAGTTACATGATAAGGACTGTGATAAATTATATCCTTTAAAAATTTTAGTGATTTTTTGATTCAATAATTACAAATCAAATTGTAGAAAATTCATAATCCCAAAACTTAGTAATCAATAATGATATAGTATAAATAGCTTGAAATGTTATATCAAAAATAAAATAAAATTATATCATTATATATATTATTTAAAAATGTTATGACAAAAAGATATTTTTTGAAATGAATATGAATTAGTTGATATTGATTCAAAAGGAACAGAGAAGTATCATTGTAAGCATTGTAATACTATGTATATTAAAAATGCTACAAGATTTTAAAATTATTTTGAAAATTGTATGAATTATCAAAAAAAATCAACTGAATCAACAGATATTACACTAAACAATAATAGTGCAACAACAATTTTTCAAAAAAAAAACATCATATAATTCAATCATCCATTGATGAATATACTGAAAGTGATCAAAAAACGCTAGAAAATTTATTAACATGGGCTTTTTGTTCAGCTGGAATATTATTTAATGTTATTGAAAATAAAGATATTAAAGCTATATTTCAAAAAAACATTTTATAGTTTAAGGTTTTATCATGATTTTAGTTATTAAACATACTTTTACATTAAGAATATATGAAAATTAAACAATTTGTTGAAAGTATTTTGAATGAATCTAAATACTTTTGTATTACAAGTGATGGATGGTTTAATATTCACCAATTGCCAGTAATTAACTATATTATTACAATGCCAAGTTCCTTTTTTTATAAAATAGTATTTACTAGTGAACAACAGCATATTGCAATTAATATAGTAGCAGGAATTGAACATATTATTGATGAAATCAGAAAAAATAAAATTGTCACAATAATTACAGACAATGCTAATATTATAAAAGCAGATTGAGAACTTTTAAAAACATTATTTCCCCAAAAGATATATATTAACTAAATTAAATTTATTATAAATTGTATGTATTGTATATTTAATTATTTAATTTTATTTTATAAATTAGGTTTTTTAAGTTATTGGGTATATGTGATTAATCTTTGGATTAAAAATATTATTAATTTAGAGTAGGCATCTCAAACTGTATGTTTTATGAAAGAAATTTTTAACTATTTTCGAAATCATTAAATAATTTTAGCAACAGTATATCAACTTCAACTTGAAGTTTATAATAAATATATATCATTATTATTTCTTGGAGATACATGATAGAGATCCATATTTTATGCTGCAAATAATCTTCTAAAAACTAAAATAACTATTTAAAAGATTATATTGGAAGATAATATTAAAATATCTGATGAAATTAAGAATAAAATTTGATTAGATAATTTTTAAATTAATCTTAAAATTCTTTATAATTTTTTTCATTTTTTATGACTCTTTTAAGAAAATTACAAACTGATCAACCAACACTTTCAACAACTTATTCTGAATTATGCGAATTAAAATTTCTATCTCAGAAAATACTGAAATTTCAGATGATTTTAAAATTAATTCAATTAATAAGGAAATAGAATGATGAAAAAATTTCCTTTATAATCCAGTAATTATATTAGCATATAAGCTTGATCCTCGATATTAAGGTAGAAGCTTAAATTCAAAAAAATAAGATTCAATTATTGAAGATAAATTACTATGACTAGTATCAAGCCAATATCAAGAAAATATATTAATTGAATTTGCAGAATATGTTTCTAAAAAGGATCATTTTGCACAAGAATATTTATAGAATTCTAATCTTGTACAAAATCTAATAAATTAGTGAGGCTTATTTAAGAACAGATATCCTGTATTAAGTGAGGTTGCATTATATATATTATCAATACCAGCCACCTTTACAGCATGTAAGAGAAATCAATCTACTTTTGGTTTAATATATAATAAGTTGTGTAACAGACTTGCAGATTTGAAAGTAGAAAAATGTGTTTATGTTCAATGGAATTTATGAATTTTGAGAGATTTGGACCTAATAGATGATTTAAATAAGATTACAGATTTTGTTGAAGATTTTATGATAAATAATGAAAAATAAAATTTCAAAGATGTATTTGATAATTTATTTTCAGAGAATAAGTTAATTACATATGACGAAAATAGGTGTATAGATATTTGTAGTGATTCTCAAGATTTAAATAAATAAAATTTTCAATACTTATTTATAGTTTTATCACATATTAGAAGTTCATATTCTTTAATTTACAAATCAAAAATTAAATTTAATAATAGTAATTTTGAATTCAGAAAATATGATAAGTTACCAGTAAGTTACCAGTAACTTACTATTTTAGTAACTTACATAAATTACTATAATTTTACAACCCTGGCAGTTATGTCTAAAAAGGGCAAGAATGGGTAGGTTTCACAGGTTCCACAGTGTTCATGGTTTTTGCAGTTTGCAGATTTTGAATTGCGACCTGTTTGGACAACAGTCATAATGATAAGGTGGCCAGTTGGGACAACTGCTACAAATAGTCGAAATAATTTTAAGGAAAAATTTATAATGAAAAAGTGCATTTTAGCCAGCTGATACTTGCGAAGGCTGCGTAGGTTGTTCGATGGCAGAAGGGACATACCCGTTATTGTTCTTCATAGTTATAGATACAGTATACACCAAATGAGAGACAAACAAATAAAACGTTATTGCGAAGGATAAATTTTGATCAAAAAAATTTTTTTTTTTTTTACTTATCTAAAATTTAAATGACCAATCATTATTAAAAAAATTAGGATCTTCTGATTGCATATGCGTAGCCAATAAAAACAAACTTCAATTATGCTGAGTTGCATTAAAAATTGACCTGGGTCAATTCTGAATCAGTGAAAATTTAGTCAATTTTGAATTGACCTAAATCGTGAAATGACTCAGAACATATACACATTGGTGATATTTAACTATAGTTGCCACAAAAAAACTTGTCACAGCATATCCTCGCTTTTGATTGTTTAGCGGTCGTAGATTTGCAAAATTTTGGCCCGCGTTACATAATTTTTTACTAATTTCTGGCCGGAATTAACCTGCGAGGTGATTTCATTAGTAAAACTTTGTGTAATTCCGGCCAAATTTTTTATTGATGCTCTTAGTCAATCAGAATCTGTGACAATTTGTTGTAACATCTAGGCAATAATACTGAGTAAAAAACAAATATACAATTGTTGATAGGGTTCTAAAAAGAGGGCCTCTAAAGTACTATACTACTAAAACGAAGTATAATGAAAAAACGTAGGATTAGGGTCGTTTTTAAAACCTATCAAGAACAGAACTCAAATAAAAAAATTTCAACTCGGTCATTAGAAACGGTATTTTTGCGGCTGCTAGAGAGAATTGGAGAGACATTAATTCTAATGAAAAAATTTCGTTATTTTTCACCTACTACCAATAATGTGCATACGTATCTATTTATTTATCTTCCTATTGAATACATATGAAGATTTTTTTATAATAATGAATAGTATAAAGGTTACATTGTTCTCAATTAGACCACCACCTTGTTAAATTCGTATATATATTCAGATATGACTCATAATACAGTCCCCTAATGTGAGGTTCCACAAACAATGGTAAAATAAAGATCTCAATTGGTAAAAATAGAGACATCTTAAAAACTTTGATTCCAAAACTATCTTTAAAATCCTTTCCTCTTCCTAAAATATCACCTTCAATGACTTCCCACAAAACCAAAAGTATTCCATTAAATAAGAAAAAAATTGTATAATCTATCGAAAAATGATCAAAAGACACTATTGCTAAATAGTCATGAAGTAACCCACTTAGCAAAAAAGCAGAACATATTCCAAGCACGCGCCCAAGGGTTTTATTGTTTTTAAAATAATTTTTGATAGGAAAGTAGCCAAGTTCTTGAAAAACTTGGTTTAATATTTGATGCCACTGATTGGACCATAAGTCACGAGGACTCGTTGAAAAATATGGATGACCTATTAAAGGTTTTGTATAGAATATTGAAAGAATTAACCATTCTTTAATGATTGTTTTAAGAGATTTTGATTCTTCTCGTTGTTTTCTGTTTTTATCTTTATTTTTATCCATGTCATTAAATAACAAAGGTCTTAAAATTATTCCATAGATAATACAATAAACATTCCACATTTGTGAAAAGAATATAATTGCACTAATTATATGAAGAATGCAAAAAAAGATGACATATGTTTCAATAAATGGACGTCCAGTTCTAAGATAATCTAAAACCCGTAACCCATATGATCTTTTTGGAATTTCTGGTTTGTTGTTTTTTAAATATTCGGATAAAAGTTCAAGAAGTAAGGATTTTATAACAAGTTTAGTCGTATTATTAATCATCTCTCGGTTAAGATCTGAGACTTTGATAGAATCAATATATTTTTGATATTTTGATTCATCAGGGATAGTTATCGATTTAGGACGCCAATTACATAATGAACCGATGAATGAAGGAACTTTAATTTTTGAATCAATGGAAAATTGATAATTTTTTTTCAACCATAGCATCATTTTAAAAAAGTAAAACGTTACAAATACTGCTATATTGAAGTGTAATAGTGGGTCATATCTTCCATGATATATGAAGGGAATCAATACTTGAACAAAGGTTATAATACAAAGTATGAAACTAAGGGGTTTGCTAGATATGGGTTTGAGAGATAAGAGTATAAACGCAATGAGAGGAATATGGATAACTATTATATAAACTATTGGATTTAATCTGGGCGGAAATCCGTATGTCTGAGACATCTTTTACTGATTATTGGATTTGTGAAGTTAGTTAAAATTTTTATTTCTGTATAAATTTACGATCGGACTTTAATGTATTTATATAAACTTTATCAATTGATTAAAATAATACGTTTTATTAATATTGTAATAATGTTACCTTACAGCGAGTAGTCCGACGTATTTATAAATTTTACCATTGACGACTGTAAACAAGCCGCATGATGATATATTTGTTTGTCATTACAGCATTCTAGAACGTTTATTAATCATATTATTGGCCAACAGAGGTGTATTGTCACACCTAAACACCTCTATTTGTTGACTATGTTTCACTTAATTTGGATTTGCGCGGATATGAGGCTTGTCGTTATAACGGTTTACCATAACAATAATCATTGTATTGACATTTATGGTTATGGTTTGCTCAATTAAGCTGTGCAGTGCGTATCGGTATGAATAAAGTCGCGAAGTAAATATGTAATTAATTAGTAATCTCGTTACATAATTTAGGTTAATACGGTGATCGTCATATCGTCATGTGCCATATTGTATAATTCTGTTATTATCTATCCAATGATGGGACTACAGGGGTTAGAAATAGGTGATACTTGATTGTTTCATTCAATAAATCACAGCGTATGACGTTTTAATTTCTAAGCCCTGTATCCCCATCACTATATATGTCGGTATCTTTACATATCAATCAGCGGACATGTCGTTTACAATTGCAGGCGTATTGATCAAATTAATTGATGTACTTAAATTTATAAGTAAATTTATAAAAAAAAAACTTTTATTTATAACTTTCATCGAAATTAAAATAAAAATCAAAATTTAAACTTTAGTTACTTATTCTTGAGCTTCTGAACATCCTTTATACAAAGTTTGAGTATGCAAATCTAACATACAAACACTCCGACATGTCGGCTGACTGATATTTATAGTTTGTAGTTTGGCTTCCATCAAGAATAGAGATCGGTTAGTTAATATACATTAAACTTCACTGACTTTATTGAGGCTCTTATTGCCAACTTTGACCGTTACCATTAAGATAATTGACAAATATTTGCGTCATGTCAGGCCAAATGATGTGTACAATTTTTATAATTTGATTGAATATCCTTGTATATTTATATAAAAAAACAAATCAAAATGTTTTTATATAAAGAAAATAATTAATTGTACACAAATATTAATTTCCAAATCCGTGTAACGTGTAAATTGTATAGAACAAAATGTTAAACACTGCCTAAGAATAAGGTAAAGGTGAGTTTGGGATGAGGGCAGGAAATAGTTTATACCAAAATTTTGCAAGTAATTTTTTTTATTATTAATACTCAAAATGCGGTTTCATAAAAAAAAATGTTGAGTTATAGACCATTTTTTAAAGAACGCAATAATTTTATATTACACCTGATCAAGTCAAGTAATTTGATTTCCTTAGGGTTGCATCGGTCTCGATCCCGGACCGGGACCGATAAGGACCGAAAGACCGGTCCCGGCTGGTCCTTGCATCGGTCCTTATAAAACAGCTGAGACCGTTGATGTTACATGATTGATCCTTCACCCGGTGTGCAATACATAAAAAGATTATTTTACAATACCGATACTAGATCAGTTATGATTATAATCCAAAATCAACGGTCTCTCCTGTATCCTTATAATGACGATAAGTAACCTTTTTTTTCTGCGCATTTTGTTCTTTATCTTTATACGGTTGCTTGTATAATAAGTAGTTGCGCGACGTTGCCGCACAAAACCAGGAACGGAAAAAAATGCTTATAGAGATATGTACTGTTATGAGCAAGTCAGTTACTTTATGACAGAAACCTTATGTAACCTACAAATAGTTTACTGAAAGAGGGGTTTAGATTTGGTCAGTTTAGGTATTTGATTTCATTTGTATTATTAGGTCTTTATGCTTGTTGGGGCTTTTCACTAATACCAGTTTTCGCTTGAACTAGGATTATTTACTTGGATACTTTAACTTGGGACCTGGTCAACCTTAAATATACTACTGTATTATAGCTTTCTACTTTATAAGCACAATTACTTCAGTATGTCAGGTAATTGGATCTTATTTTAATAACTACAATCAACTACTCTACGTCGGGGCAGTTGGAATTAAGATCACGGTTAATCTTAGTACGTTAAGATATAACCGGAACGTTTAACGAAATATGAACGACCCTAGCGTCGCCCGCAAAAAATGGTAGCCGGACAGATCTGCCGGGTACATGTGATTTCGGATCTGATTTCATATCCGATTACGTATTGGCTTTGATTACAAATCAAAAAAGTCTTTCGTGCGTTTGAAAAAATTCATTTTTTCATAAAATAACTCGAATAAAAATTTTTTTTTCTACTGCCGTTATTTTTATGAACAAGTGTAAATTTCAATTATTTTATGCATATTTGTTTTTGATTATGGGCGAATTTAAATAAAAT